ACCAGCCACTCCTCGGAAGGAAGGTTGGGCAATCCTACTTCCGTAGTGATACTGCCTCGGAAACCCAAGGAGGGGTCGCTATGAGTCAGGTTTGACTCGACGGCACATAACAACAACAACAACAACAACGTTACTCTTTAGGGTTGCATAGTATTCCATTGTGTGTATGTACCATAGCTTGGTTATCTGTTCTTCTGTTGATGGGCACCTAGGTTGTTTCCATTTTTCTGCTATTGTAAATAGTGCTGTGATGAACATGGGTATGCATATATCTGTTCTTGTCCTGGCTTTCATTTCTTTAAGACATATAACTAGTAATGGAATTGCTGGGTCAAATGGTATGTCTAATTCCAACTTTTTAAGGAATTGCCTTGCTGCTTTCTACAGTGGTTGTATCATTTGACAGTCCCACCAGCAATGTATGAGAGTCTCTATCTCTCCACATCCTTGCCAGCATTTGTTATTTTCTGTCTTGTTGAACTTTGCCATTAATGCTAGGGCAAGATAGTATCTCATTGCTCTTTTGATTTGCATCTTCCTAATGGCTAATGATCATGAAGATTTCTTCCTGTGTTTGTTGGCCACCTGAATATCCTCTTTGGTGAAGTGTCTAATTATGTCTTCTGACCATTTTTTAATTAGATTGTTTGTCTTTTTGTTGTTGAAGTGTTGGAGTTTTCTATAAATTTTAGAGATGTGTCTCTTGTCAGATATGTTGTTGGCCAATATTTTTTCCCAATCTGGAGGTTCTCTTTTTACTCTTTTGGAGAAGTCTTTTGAAGCACATTAATATTTAATTTTTAGAAGGTCCCATTAATCTAGTTTATCTTCTGCTGTCCATGCATTTTGGGTTATACTTGATATTCTATTTATGCCATAAATTGTTGTTGTTGTTATGTGCCGTCTAGTCGGACCTGACTCATAACAACCTCTCCTTGGGTTTCCGAGGCAGTTTCACTATGGAAGTAGATTGCCCAGCCTTCCTTCCAAGATGCCATAAATTAGGGCCTCTGAATTTGCCCCTATTTTTCCCTTGAGGAACTTTATAGTTTTAGGTTTCACATTTAAGTCTTTGATCCATGTGGAGTTAGTTTTTGTGTATGGTGTGAGGTATGGATCTTGTTTCATTTTCTGCAAATGGATATCCAATTTTGCCAGCACCATTTGTTGAAGAGACCATCTCTTCCCCATT